ATGTATGTGTGTGTGTGTGTATGTGTGTGTGTGTGTGTGTGCTGCCCCCACTGCGCATTCGCCCGCGCGAGGGACAAATGTGTGTGTGTGTGTGTGTGTGTGTGTGTGTAGGTGCACGTGGTCGTGGGGGTCAGCGACGCCTCCCCACCACTCAATCAATCAATCAATCAATCAATCAACAAAAAAAAAAAAAGGAAAATCAAATGAATCTTTCATTAGAACATGGAAATATACAATACTGCGTGTGTGTGTGCGCCTGTTGGGGATGGGGGGACGACCCCGCCCCCATTAATCAATCAATCAATCAATCAATCAATTAATCAATCAACGAAAAAATAATTTAAAAAAATGGAATGAATCTTCCTCTAGAACATGGAAATATACAATCCTACCTCTGTGTGTGTGTGTGTGCGCCTGTGAGGCCAATCAATCAATCAATCAATCAATAAAAGAAAAAAGAAAAATTGTTTTTTTTCCCCCCGAAATACCTTCACTCACCCGAACCCCACCACCAAAAAATTGTTTATTTTTTATTTTTTTTTTCTTGACGGGGTGGGGCTGGGGTTGCGCCGCCCCATGGCACTTCCCGAATCCCCAACCCCCCTCCCCAACGGCCGCCACGCGTCGTGGAAGTCGCGCAGATGCGTCCGCGGGGTTGGCGGCCTGCCCTCGTCCGCGGATTGGGCCCGCTCTTGGCTGCCGCCAAGGGGGATTCACTGGCAATAAGTAAAATAACGTTAACAGTAATGGTATTTCACTTCTGCCGTAAGGCTCGCACTTATTCTACACCTCTCAAGTCGTTTCACATAGTCGACCTAGAGTTAAGCTCAGTAGGGTCTTCTTTCCCCGCCGATTCTTCCAAGCCCGTTCCCTTGGCTGTGGTTTCGCAGGATGGTAGATAGGGACAGTGGGAATCTCGGTAATCCATTCATGCGCGTCACTAATTAGATGACGAGGCATTTGGCTACCTTAAGAGAGTCATAGTTACTCCCGCCGTTTACCCGCGCTTGGTTGA